TTTAAACCAACTTTTTCACTTTCCTCCTTCACCCTCAAGAGACAGTTTAGTTCCTCTTCACTTTCTGCCGTTAGAGTGGTAGCATCCACATATCTGAGGTTGTTGATATTTCTCCTGCCTATCTTGTTTGCAGCTTGTAATTCATCCAACCCGGCATTTCTCATGATGTGCTCAAAATATTGGTTAAACAAACAGGGTGACAGCAGACAGCCCTGTAGTACTCCTGTCTCCATCTTAAACCAATCAGTTGTTCCACCCAGGGTTCTAACTGTTGCTTCTTGACCCGCATACAGGTTTCTCAGGAGACAGGTAAGATAGTCTGGTATTCCCATCTCTTTAAGAGCTTTCTACCATTTGTTATGATCCATATAGTTAAAAACTTTAGCACAGTGGATGAAGAAGAAATAGATGTTTTTCTGGAATTCCCTTGCTTTCTCTATGATCCAGCAAATGTTGGCAACTTGATCTCTGGTTCCTCTGCCTTTTTTAAACCCAGTTTGGACATCTGGAAGTTCTTGGTTCACATAACGCTGAAATCTAGCATGCCAAATTTTAAGCAAGTCCTTACTAGCATGGAAGATGAGTGCAATTGTCCAATAGTTAGAACATTCTTTAGTACTACCCTTATTTGAATTGGGATGAGGATTAAACTTTTCCAGTACAGGGGCCACTGCTGGGTCTTTCAGATTTACTGACATATTGGGTGCATAATGTGTCATACCACTGGTATATTTAGGGTGTTATTTCTAAAACCAAGGGATTAATCTCTTCAGGGAAGACACTGAAACAAAATGCTAACATGACATTCTAAAAAGTGATAAATACAAAAAAGACAGGAACAAATAATCCAGTTGAAGACAGCAGGCCTAACTAATACTAGAAAAGCTAGATTTGTAGATTACAAAGATCCATCAGTACATCAGTAGGTAAAGCCTAGAATAATTCCTGAAACCGGTGATAAGCCTGTGCAGTGACTCAGGTCAGTGGTGATCTCAAGCTTGGCTTATGCAATGTAATGGACACCCCCTTACACCCCAGATTTCACAGATATCCACCAGATGGTGCCAAGCTGTTTTCCTCAACTTCATGTGAATATGAGAATAACCTGGGATACTTTTAAAAAATATTGGTGCCAAAAAAAAAAAATTGGTGCCTGAAGTCCACCCTTAGAAAGGATGCCTTTCTAAGGCATCCTTAGAAAGGAAGCCCATCCTTAGAAATTGATGCCTTAATTAATCCTTAATTAATGTGGAATGGGGTATTATAATTTCACAATTCCTATTTTCACTATTGGAGGATTATGATATGCAATCAGTAGTGAGACCTTCCTGTTTCTCTAAGTCATAAATGTGCATCCATCATTGACTCTTGATTAAAGCTGGATTTAGTTTATTAGAAAAGTTCTAGCAGAGAATTTTTCAGCCACATGGTCTTAGATAGATGTAAATATTCAAACTTCCATGAAATCAGGTTCTTTAAGGAGTTTTGGCAGCTTGTCTTAAATGTTTTTACCCTGTACTTTTAGAAGACTGAAGCTTATCAAGTGTCCTGATTTTCTGGATGATATAGGTCAAGGTCAGTCTTACAAAAATGGTATTGTCAGTCATGAAGTTTGCTGAATGACAAGCAAGTCTTGTAAGAATATAATATAAGTGGTTCACCAGGAGATCAGAGTCTAGAGAAACACAGACCTGGGTCTGTCCTAGACCGCAAGATAAAGAACTTTTTTCTTTTTCATGTACTTATTCATTTATTCATTCATAAAACATTTACTGAGCACCTATTATGTTCCAGACACTTGATACACAAGCTGAGCAAGATTGAGAATTTCCTTAGCTCACTGATGTTTTTATCTTCTAGGCTGTAAGTTCTGATAGTTGGAGAATCATGGTTTCTGTTTTATTTTGTTTGGTTGTTTTGCATATCATTATATCCTTAAAGCCTAGCAAATAGTTGACAATAAATATTTGATGAATGATAAGTGAATAGATAAACTGATTAAATAAAATATGTCATTGCAAAGGCACTTATGATACAGGGAAGAACAATGAGTATGTACATGGAAAAGTAAATTACGTGAAGGGTTAGGGGAAGTTCTCCGGGGGAAAAGCTATGTTAAAAGTAAGATCAGTGTGGTGAAAAGGAAACAGTAGATTTAAAGGCCTAAAGATGTAAGAAAATGTGCTTATCTTGGGCATTTCAAGTTCAGTGTGGCTACAGGGAAAAGTGAAGTTGAAGAATTAGAAAGAAGATGGGCCATGTAGAGTACTCTAAACTACATGTCTTAGTTTCCTATTATAGTTATAGCAAATGACCACATACTAGTGGCTTAAGACAACATAGATTTATTATCTTACAGTTGTATAGGTCAGACATCTGAATCGGGTCTCACTGGGCTAAAATCAAGGCTCTGGTGGGGTAGAATCCGCTCTAGAGGCTCATGGGGAGAATCTATTTCCCTGAATCTTCCAGCTTCCAGGGGCTGCCTGCATTCCTTGGTGAAACTCCTATCTTCAGATCCAGCAACAGTGGGTGGAGTCCTTCTTCATGCTTTGAATTTTTCCTGCCACTCAGACTACATATCTCTCTGAACCACTCTTCTGCTTTTAAGAGCTCACATGATTAGAATGGGCTCATCCAGATTAAATACAGAATAATCTCCTCTTAATCGCATGCTCAGAGTTTTGCCATGTGAAGTAACATATTCACTGATTCTGGGGATTAAGACATAGATGTCTTTGGGGTTGTTACTCTGCCTACCGTATCATGTCAAGAAATTCAGACTTTCTCTTCAAAACAGAGAGAAACTATTAAAGAGTTTCTGTAGAGGAATGAATGATCAGCTTTGCATTTTGAAAATTTCTCTCTTGATGATTTCTGGAAACCAGATTAGAAAGAAATTGCTGTCATCTAAGAGAGTTAAAATGTTTGTGTAGACCAGAGAAATGTCTGGAAAAGATGAAGGGTAGAAGGATTTGAGAGTCATTTACAAAGATAAAGAAAATGTTTTAGTGGTTGATTCTATTTGGGGGATGAGTTTCGACAACACAAATACCACTCTGGTTAGGGTGACTGCGTAAATGGAGGCACTGTTTACCAAGGCAATAAATGCAGGAGGAATAACCTTGAGAGAAGAAGTACTAAGTTTGTTTGGAGAAACATTAAGTTCATGGAATCTTCCCTGTAACTCAGACGGTAAAGAATCTGCTTGCAATGCAGGAGACCCGGGTTGGATCCCTGGGTAGGGAAGATCATCTGGAGAAGGGAGTGGCAATCCACTCCAGTATTCTTGCCTGGAGAATCCCATGGACAGAGGAGCCTGGTGGGCTACAGTCCATGGGGTCGCAGAGAGTTGGACACACAGAAAACACACATTCTTAAGTTCATGAGCCATGAAGACATTCATGTGTAGATATCCAATTAGGGGTTGTATCCAAGGGTTTAAATTTCAGAAGAGATTTCTGGGCTGCAGACTTATCTCTGGGTGTCCTTAACATATACATGAACACCAAACCCTTGGGGAAAATGTAGAAAGAAAAAGAAATCCAAAGACAGCAACTAGAGAAAAAACAGCATTTCTGAGACTGCCAAAAGACACAGACTCTGCCCAGGAGAGTAGGAGCAAAGGACAGAGGGGAAAGAAGCAATGAAAGGGGTCTGGTGTCATTCAGTCCAAGGAAAGAGACTATCTTAAAGAGCAGGAGTGATCAACCTCATGGATGGTTGTGAAGTGGTCAGTGAGATAAGGACTGAAGGGGGTCAAGGGAGCAGGCCTCTTGGAGTCACTGTTGACTTTGGAAGAGCAATGACCTTAGGACAGGAGAGTTGAGCTGTGATTGGAAGGTAAGGAACAAAATACCAGAGTGCAAACTACTTTTTCCAGAAAGTTGGCCTAAAAAAGATGAATTTGGGGGGTAGTTAAAGGATGAACTGAGACATATTATTATTTTGGAACAGAAAGAAACAGAAATATATCTCTAGGAATTCCTTCAAGTGTCATTGTGAAGGCCGGGGGGAAGTGGGTGCAGATGGAAGGAAAAGTAAAGTTCAGAAAGAGTGTTCTATTTGTTCATTCATTTGTTTATGTTTAATGTCAAGGACTTGAATACATTCTACTACAAATGGAAAGGAGTTGGTGGTGAAGGCAAGTTTTTAATGGAGGAAATACTCAGGTAACAAGGGCTCAAAGAGATGCTGACAACTAGAGCTGTGGAGGAGGGATTGGCCTTACCATCCCTCCAAAATGAAAATTAAAAGCTGCATTATGAAAAGGACAGGTGCCACTTTAGGAAAACGGGGCAGGAAGTTTATAGGGTCATTGTTTCATACCTTCTGTTGTTGGTTTTCTTTTGGCCATTGAATAAGATAGTAATTCAAGGTGGTGTTTCAACCTAAAGAGTCTGAATGGTGAACCAAGACTAAGAGAAAAGTTCAAAACCAGAAAAGCACAGTTAGGGGTGGGAGGGAAGGTTAAAAGTGCCAAGAAATATACACTGAAATTCAAAAAGGATGAGGAATAAGTCCTGATGTGGAGTGTGATGCTGTAAGTTCAGGACACACAAATTGCAGGGGTGGGAGAGCTTGATTTATGCGGTGTTGCAGGAATGGCTGGGTGGACTGGCTTAAATTTGCAGGGAAATAGGGCAACTTGAAGTTTTGCCAGACTCTCTGAGGAGCACAGAGTGAAAGACTGTTCCTAGCTTCACACTATTTGAAAAAATAAGACTAATCAATGAGAAATTCCTGAGTTGGATGACTTACTAGTTTTCTTCACCTTAAGCCGAAGGTTAATTTATAATGCAATACAAGAATTAAACCAAAAAGTTGAGTTGAAAATACAATACCACATGTGATCAAGTGTCAAATGAGAGATGGAGTAAAAAGGATAAGTACTGAGGTTCAAAAGAGAGAAAGGAGTAAATAAATTAATCTCGTTTGTGAAGACTTCTTGGAAGCAAGCATATATGGTCATTATTAACGGGTATGTTTTATTATCCTAGTTATGAGCCGACAGAAAGACACGGCACACCATTGCCTATAGACTGCAGGATGAGCTCCTGGAGTGCGTGGTCGAAATGTGACCCCTGCCTCAAGCAAATGGTAAGTATTCTTTGCCATTCCCCACCGGTGTCCCCAGATGTCAACTGTATTGCCAGCATTGCCAGGAAAATGACAAAGAGGTAGGAACCTTCCCTCCCCACACCACCACCACCAGCTGCGTTGTGAACTCAGAATGAAAGGAAAATATCTAAATGGATTAGGCTAACCTTACTGGGAAACCTGAATGCTGCACAGCTGACTGAACAAAAGTCACGAGGAACCATGTTCTATACAAGAGCCTGCCAACCCCACCACATGAGGTGTTCCTTCAAGTGATGTCGGGGACTATGTTTCAGACTTCCATCTTAAAACCTTTGACGCAGCTGGTGGTTGGAGGTCTGCAGCGATATGGATGCAGTTTTAGATCAGAAGCCCTTTTCGGCCTTAGAAATACTAACATTTCCACCTGTTTCTGTGCAGTTTCGTTCGAGGAGCATTGAGAACTTTGGACAATTTAATGGGCGAAAGTGTGTGGACGCCTTGGGAGACCGACGGCAGTGTGTGCCCACAGAGGCCTGCGAAGACCCCGAGGATGACTGTGGCAATGACTTTCAGTGTGGTACAGGTAATCCTCCCATTGCCTGGTGTGGGTTTCTGTGTGCCTTTATAAGCCAAAAGAAGGAAATGTGCTTCCTGACCCTCATACTTCCAAGTGTGGATACAAAAAAAATCCAAATATAATGCGTGGTCACTCCTCCCTCACTTTAAAGTATGTTTGATAACTTCAGAAAGAAAGGAAATCTGGCATGTGATACACAGTGTCTTTCTGCCTTTCCTGACTTTGATTGCAGGCAGATGCATAAAGAATAGACTTCTGTGTAATGACGACAATGACTGCGGAGACTATTCAGATGAGGATAACTGTGAACGTGATCCTCGCCCCCCTTGCCGCAACAGAGTGGTGGAAGAGTCAGAGCTGGCACGGACAGCAGGATATGGGTCTGTACTCCGCTTGGGCCTTGTCGATGAGGATGAATGAAAGTGATCCCCACCTCTCTTGCTGTGCTAGAGTGCTAGATGGTTTGAGCCGGTACAGAGAGTAGCCTATGGGTCTGTATTCTGAATTACATTTGAGCTTGAAAGACGTTAAGTGCTGAATCAGCAGCTCAAGATAGTTTGGACAAACTGCCTGTCTTCAGTAGGTGTCTATGGAATAGATTAGGCTATCAGGATAATAGGTGATTACTTCTGAGCTCAATAGGAGAGGAGACCCCTTGGTCATCAACCTCTGGAAGATGAAAGCAAGATTAAAATGACACATTAACCTTTGAAGTTGAATTGCCAGTATTAGGTCTGGTAATTCGATTCAAATATTTGAATGCCCAGGAAGACTGGAAATGTTCTGTTGGAACTTCTCTTGGATCTCTACCTGGTTGTAAGTTCTCAGGGGGTCCCAGCATTCTGGAGTTTGCCCAAGAGGTAAAGATCAGAGGGAGCAGTTCTGATGCCATGTGGGGCTGATGTTGGGACTCTGCTTCTCATTACAGAGCTGAAGTTTCACTTGTTTCCACACAATTATTGCTTCATGTGGAATCTAAGGAAGTTTTCTCTCTGAACCGAACAAACAGGCTCAAAGCAGGGCATTACTTGTGTTATGGATTCTCATTCGATGCAAATCTACATCTGATTTTATAGGAGAAGGATACAGAAATCATAGCCCTCTTGGCTATAACATAATCATTTGCAATCTATAGGTTTCTTTTGTACACTAAGAGAAAATTCACTCTATGGTATCTGCCAGGGAGTTTCCCAATGAGGCATCCCAGAGAGCAGCCAAGACTCCTTAAACACCTCCTGCCTTACCTTGATCACGGCTGTTAATGACATCACAGAGCCGAGCCTGCAGGGCTAAGTGAGTGGGTGGGGTCTGAGCTGTGTGGAAAGTTGGCTAAGAGGTGGAAAATGAGGTAGGCTCTGATAGAATCTGTCCACCAACCATTTTAAGATCCTCATTACCACGGGCAATCACCCGTAGCTAATTTAGTCTTCATAAAGCTATTGTTCTCAGACAGCTTTCATTTGCACAGTAACTTTGAATTTTTCCAAATCTTTTTGTGCATTCCCTCTCTTAGCTATTCATAATAATCCTGTGAGATAGTTAAGGGCGACATTATATTCACTTTATAGAACTAAGTAAAATAAACAAGGCCTTTTGGCACGTTAGTTGCTAGCAGAACTAAAACCCAAGTTTCCCTGACTGATAGAAAATTATGGTTTTTTTTTTCACCATGTCACCTAACCCTCTTTCTTCCCACATTCCCCTCACTACTCACATCAATCCTCCCACATCACTACAAAGCACAGAAGTCAGCTCCCTAACTTCAAAGCATAGCTAACCTTGGAAAATGAAACCCCTTAAGTAGTTATTTATTACCCAAATATTTGAATTAAGACTATAGAGAGTACTAAAAATCAGTAATTAATATTTAACAAGAGATTTCAAAATAGCATGCCTTGTTATATCAATAATCATGATTGTTTCAATACCATTGATGTTACATATTTATGTATCAATACTATATATCTCCATTATACTTATATGGGGCTATGGAACTATATTGAAATAGAGATAATAGGAATAAACAAACTAATCATAACTACATGCTTATAAACTCTCCAGTTTGGAAAACCTCAACAAGTCATAGCAGTCACATACAGTCAGATTCTTTTACACATGAAAGTCACAAGTACTCATAAATTAATTAAATTTATAGTTGTTTTCATTTGAAGGACTCTTCATTTAAATTCTCATGCCAGGAGAATTCACTTGTATCACAAATATTTCAGCCTCTTGTTGGTATCTGAGATTCTTTAGAAGTGTTTAAGGGAAATCCCCAACCCATCTTGCATCCATTGGAAAAAAAAATCCATACCAACTATAAATGATGTGCTATACACAAGGAGTTACTTCGGTGTGTGATCTAAGCATAACACCACTTCTGTGGAGGGAGCTGCTCTTCTGCTCACCTGGTAAATTGGAACTGCCCTGGGTTTTAGGTGCAGGTGTAAAAACAGCCATCTCCAAGTGCTGCCAAAGAACACATGCTTTTTATTTCCCAAGCGATGACATTCCATCCATGAGAAGTTTTCATGTTTCTTGGCAGAAAAAAAAATTGGCTCATACTAGACTAGACTGGCTGTCTCTGTAGCAGTGGAACCAAGTCAAAAGTTTTGAAACATTTCTTCCTTAGAGGTCCTTTAGTCTGTGGATCAGCTTCATTGTAACTTTCCAAATGGATCCAGCCAACTGGGCAATTTGCTGTTCCCTAGAACAAAACCCTTCAAACTGGGGTAATCTTACTGTGGGGTGCAAAAAGACTCTCCATGGGGGGAGATAGGTGAGTTTTACAAATAACAGTTTCCCCAACTATTAGTTACTTAGCTAATGTAACTAATAATAAATCTTCGATTCCATACATACAGATTTTTCAACTGATAAGCTTGAAGATTCAGGATCATTCATTCAGTTGTCAAATCCATTCTCCTGTCTCACCTCTTCTTTCACAATCATCTAACTCCCACTTCCCAAAAGAAGAGTACATCCCTCACCCATCTCATATTTCTCTATGAGATAGAAAAACCAAGAATCAATTCCAAATTTTGTACTCAGTTGGACTTGGACTCTAAGGCCTTGTAAGTCAAGTGGTCTCCAATTCTTATTACCAACAGCATTTAAAGATGTCCTAATCAATTGTCAGGTAATGGACTATAAAAATAACATTTAACTAAAGACTAGTATGTGTTCTTTTTTTGGCATAAAACTCAGAAGATCGAGGAATTAAGTGACATTGCTATGACAAAATTCCTTCTATTCTTATCTACTTATTTATGTGCATAAAGTTTCTCAGCAGCTGCATCTATACAAATGGAAAGTAGAAATGAAGTTGATGCTGAGCCCTATGTTTTTTCTAGCAGTAAGTAATACTCGTCCATGGGTATAGTAACTAATCAATTAATTAAAAAGAAGCCCCATTCATTTCACTGAGAGATGCTTTTCCAATAAAAATTTTATGTTTATTAAGTATTGCTAAATTTTAATATGTTTAAATGTACTACTAAAAATGGTAACTCAATCCAGAAGAATTTATTAAACACTTAGACCTTATGGTCAAAGAATATTTAACGTTTTTAAAACTTCAATTAATACCTTTTGAGTACAGAAAAGTGTGAAAAGGTGATCATTTAAAACTTCCATGCATAAAAGTCCATTCAGGTCGGTTCAGTTCAGTCGCTCAGTTGTGTCCAACTCTTTGCGACACCATGAATAGCAGCACGCCAGGCCTCCCTGTCCATCACCAACTCCCGGAGTTTACTCAAATTCATGTCCATCGAGTCGGTGATGCCATCCAGCCATCTCAGGTTAAAATTCTATAGCAGAAGTGAAATAGAAATACAGATTCAAGCATAAAAGGGGGTGGGGGAATATAAGAACTCTATTATCTACTCATTTTGCCATGAACCTAAAACTGCTCTAAGAAATAAAGTTTATTTTTTAAAAAAGTAGAATCAGAAGGAATACCATAAAACATCCAGCTGTTAAAGGAATATAAACATTGTCATTACTTGATACCTGCTATCACTACAGAATTTATATGCCATTGGATTTATTTTTTAAAGAAGCACAATAATTATATTTTAAAGTGTAAATATTTACAGCATGCTGTGAAACTTATCCTTTAGTCCAATTCAGTTGCTCAGTCATGTCTGACTCTTTGTGACCCCATGGACTGCAGCACCCCAGCTTCCCTGTCCATCACCAACTCCCAGAGCTTGCTCAAACTCATATCCATTGAGTCGGTGATGCCATCCAACCATCTCACCCTCTGTTGTCCTTCTCCTCCTGTCTTCAATCTTTCCCAGCATCAGGGTCTTTTCAAATGAGTCAGTTCTTCATATAAGGTGGCCAAGTGGAGTTTCAGCTTCAGCATGAGTTCTTCCAATGAATATTTAGGACTGATTTCCTTTAGGATGGTCTGGTTGGATCTCCTTGCAGTCCCAGGGACTCTCAAGAGTCTTCTCCAACACCACAGTTCAAAAGCATCAATTCTTTGGCGCTCATATTTCTTTATAGTCCAACTCTCACATCCATACATGACCACTGGAAAAACCATAGCCTTGACTAGACGGACCTTTGTTGGCAAAGTAATGTCTCTGCTTTTTAAAATGCCAACTTTTTCACTCTCCTCTTTCACTTTCACCAATTTATCCTTTGCAACTACTGAAACTTAAAAGGAAACATTTTAGATGTCAACCTAAAACTGTACAAGGAGGCATGATTTATTAGAGTAGACAACCAGAAAATCTGAAGACTATCACCCAAAAATATGCTATATGTATTTCCACCTACAGAACATTTTTAATATTTTAAATGTACTTGGCTGCAGTAGGTCTTAGTTGCAGCACTCTAAGATCTTTAGTTGTGGCACAAGAACTCTTAGTTGCAGCATGTGGAATCTAGTTCCCTGACCTGGGTTCAAACCTGGAACCTCTGCATTGAGAGTGCAGAATCTTAGCCACTGGACTACCAGAGCAGTCCTTCCACTTACAGTATTTTGTATACTCATTCCTTCTGCCCTCCAGACCCCATCTTCAAAACTCAAATCAAATCATGATACTTCATTTTTATGACCCTGCCATGGGGACCTCTTCCTCTTGGGAACTTTGTACATCACTTACCTGTACTACCCATTTGGTACATGCACATTCATCCTTGGACTATTGTTTGAAACTGGTAATTGTATCCAACCCCTACCTTGAATATAATTTTAATGAAATCAAAGACTATATTAACTATCTTAATATTACCCATTGTTTATTACAAGCACTACACTACTCATAGATATAACAGATACAACAGTCACCTAAGAGTACATCACCATTACTGTGTTGTTCAGTTGCTAAATCATGTCCTACTCTTTATGAACTGTATGAACTTTGTGAACTCCATGAACTGCAGCATGCCAGACTTCTCTGTTCTTTACTATCTCCTAGAGTTGGCTCAAGTGCATGTCCATTGAGTCGGTGATGCTATCTAACCATCTCATCCCCTGCTGCCCTCTTCTCCTTTTGTCTTCAATATTTCCCAGCATCAGGGTCTTTTCCAATGAGTTGACTCTTTGCATCATTATAAGCCAATATTAATGTCATTATTCATTTAATACAAAGAGGTACGGGGTCATTGTTAGTAAGATACATGGAAGACAAGTTCACGACAGAATAAAGAAAAAGTACTTGAGGTCTTGTTTAAGAAACAAACACAGATCACTTATTTCCAGTATTCTATGTATTTGTATCAAAACCTTAGCAATATTTTTTAAAATATTTATTTCTCACATGTCTGTGAATACAGGGATGGGTGAAAAGCTGAAGCCAAAATTTTAATCTCCCATCTAGCATAAGATATTGAAGAATGTAAACTAGATATATAGTGTTTCTTTTTTCCTCTCTTCCTTGTTCAACTGACTAAGTCTACTGTTTGGCCCTTTACTGGAAATTTAGGGCCATAGCATTTTTCATGAAAGGTACTTTTGGTGGGGCAAATAGTGAGAAGGAGTTAATTCTAACTATACAATCAGCCTTAAGAAATATATTACTGAATCATTTCTTTAATTTTCCTTTCATTGAGTTGAGCTATAATATTCATCTTCTTTGTAGATTCAAAGTTTATTAAGAATGTGCTATTTATATGAAGACGTTGTTTTTAACCCATTGGAAATAGGATACTTTTCCAATTATTTTTCTTGCATTAGCAATGGGTTTACGATCCAAACCCTTTGACAAATTGCTCTTGAAACCAACATCCAGATTTGTAATCCAGCTCATTGGACTCAGGGATGTGGTCCAGAGCAATAGCTTTTGCTTAGAGTTTTGCTTAGAGCATATTTATGCTTTTGTGCCAAGCTACATTATGGATATGAGAAGCAAACCTCTATTTTGGCCTCTCTGCCCTGGGGCCATTTATTCCAGATACAGTCTAGACAGCAAGGATTGTTTCACCAATTAGCACTTCACAAAGAATGAACTGTTCTTATTCATATATTGATTTTTGGCCTACAAATCAAAGTCAATATTTTTTAGGCTAAACAAGCTTCCTATTTCTGAATTAAAGTTTGCCAAATAACAATATTTTGCTAGGAGAAAAAAGGAGAACTTTTGAGAATGCCTTGCCGGATGGTGACATTTTTGTGTTCCTCTTGGAAAATGTAATAAGAGTAAAATAAGTCTGGAGGGAACAAGGGTTGTGACAAACAATGAGACAGCTGGAGGAAAAGGTTTAAGTTTAAGGAGAATGGGGAGAGAAAGAGGCCCCGTGTTGATTCATAGATTAAAAATCATATGCATATGTTATACTCCTCCCCCTGAGATGCTCTGTTCTCAATTTTAAGAGGTGATATTGTAGCATTGGCTTATAGTTCACCAAGGAAAGTTAGCTAAGAGTTACATCAGTGAGAATTCAACTCTAACAGCCAGATGGTCTCTTGCTTCCTACTTACTGAATTTCTTTCACTGGGCTCAACAGTGGCCTAGTTGCCTAAAAGAGTTTATAAGACCTTCCTAAGGTGTACCTCCCACCCAGACGCAGAGCAGAGGTGACCAGGCTCTTGCTTCTGCTCCTGATTCTATCACACCACCACACGGGTTTTGGGGACACGATGAGCTGAAGCTCTCTTCTCCCAGTTCCTGAGGGCTGCCTGGCATTCGCTACAGGTATCTCCATACCTGAAGCTACTCTGTTCACTCTCAGGATCAACATCTTAGGCATGGACCCACTCAGCACCCCTTTTGACAACCAGTACTACAATGGACTCTGTGACCGGGTTTGGGATGGCAACACCTTGACGCACTACCGCAGGCCCTGGAACGTGGCTTCGCTGACCTATGACGTAAGTCTTCTTAGAAGACAATACATTGTTCAGCTAGCTGACCAATTGTTTCCATAAGTTTCGTTCTAAATGATGTGAAAAATGCAGTCGAATGAAAATTCAATGTAAACATAAGATTGACTTAAAGAAGAGATGTAGCTTGAGTCTCTTTAGATAATATACACAGCAGTCTATGATCAATCCTCAGTAGCATGCAGTTAGTGTTAGAGTTTTGGCAAATATCTCATCTCTGTGAAAAGAATCATCTGAGGTTCTGCTGAAACTAAAAATTAAATTAGTGCTGACTTAAGGACTGAGTACACTGCTGCCACACTCTCGAGGTTCGGTTTTGGCTAACCTACCAAGAACATGTCTAGATTTGTTTTCCTTCATGTCCCCTTTGTAACACCTGCTTGGCTAATGTGAGTGGTTATTCTCACTCACCTCAAAACCCCCCATCCCCAGTTTTAGTGAAATTATTTCCTAGAGTGATTTTTACTCTACAAAATGCCAGCTCAAGCCTACTGCCTCTCTATAAGTCACCTAAATTCTCTAAAATGATCCACAAACTGTACCTGCCCCCATTCAAAGGAATAGCATTTATTACCTCTAGAGATTCATTTCTGACTTAAACAAGATATAATAAAGAATAATAAATAACTTACTCTGATCCAGGAACTACAATAATCTGTTTCTTTAAATGGTTCCACTGGTGACCCATAAAATTTACTTTAGTTAGTCACAACAATGTCCTTTATTATTGCTGTCAATCCCGTCAGTTTGAGAAACATATTACTTTTTCCATAATTGTAGTTAGTATTCCTTTTATTTCTAACAATGTTATAAATCAGTCCCTACCCACTGCAGCCTGAAGTGATCATCCTGTCTTGTGAATGTTAAAGATGTTTAATGTCTCAAATATTTGACTGGCATTCTTTCCCCCATGTGCACACTGTCATATTTTTGGTACCTGTAAGTCCAGAAAAAAAATCAGTTTTCCACAAATCTAAGGGAACATTATTGATGTTTCCCATCATGCCAGGTTAACTTTCTTTAAGCATATTTTTTGAAGGGGAGTTTTCATCTTTCTAAGAAGTATTACACATGTTCTACTGTTTTTGAAAGAGTATACCAAAGAAGAGAAGCTTTGTCATTGCTGATGCAAGAAGGGCTATTGTGGTTTGTTTGCTTTTTTTAGTTCTCAGGTCTGTGCTGTACAGTTTTTCTTTGACACTGTCACCAGCCTGTTAGCTTCTCTGTAAGGTTAGTAACAGGTGTGAACCAAGAGATGAGGGCTAGAGGGTTGATCAGGACTGATCTTGAAGCTACAGTTGGAAAGTAAGCAAACTGTTGTCCCTTATCTACAACTCTGAAAACAGATGTGATTCCTAACTCAGAAGGATTTGAATTTTACAAGGATGATGTGGTGCTTATCCTATATATTACTTACATCCCAGGTGGAGTTGGGAGCAGCATCTTAGAATCAAACACATTAACATAGCTATGGCAAAATTAACTGATATTTACAAAAAGTGGGAGAAATGAAGATCATAAATAACTCTTTTTCAGTTCAGATCAGATTAATGCCTCCAAATGAGTTTTGGCATTAAGCTTATAAAAAAGTTGATAGGGATTGTGGACCTGAGTGTTTATTTCATGCCACCTGAAGAAGGATGCTGACAGAGTTGGCTGGGGGCCTGTTAAAGTCCCCAAATCATCCCCCCCACCTTGGTGCTAGTAATGCTAATGCTCCCAGTATCCTAATCTGTTAAGGTCCACAACTAGCTCAACATTAAAGAACTTGAGTTTATTGAGTGGAAATCTCTATTTTTACTTCTTAGGAAAGTATTATTTTCTACACCTTCTAATACTCTTTGGCATATTTTACCTACTTTTTCATGTATATTCTTATGATAGTGTTTAAGGCAGAGAATGCATATTTTACTTCCTTATAACCTATTACCAGCTGTCACTCAATGTATGTGTAGGATAGGTGCTCAACAAAATTGTACTGGATGACAATTTTTAAAAACTTGTTTTAGTTACTCATGGGCAATAATTTACTACCTTTCATTTTTTGAGAGAATTCTATGAACCTATCATTCTGCGGGGGATATCCCTTAATAATGACATCTTACTCTGACACATTCACTTTCCCTCAATGCCTCTTCTCGCAAAGGCAGCCTTGACTCCAGAGCACACTGCAGAGTTTGGAATCCTAGCCCTTGGGAAGATTACTTCTCCTCATCGTGCCTCAGTTTCCTCATCTGTAAAATAGAAATAATAATGCCTACTCTGTAAAGATAAATGAGTCTAAATAGGTGAAACATTCAGGTTACTGACACATAGCAAACACTCAATAAATATTTGCTATTCTTTTTGAAAGTGTAAACAGAAGAAGACTTAGTTCTGGTTAAATGCAGTTCTGGTTGATTAGCAGTTACATTTTCACTCAAGGTTTATTGGTTACCGTAAATCAGAAGTGATGATTACATGAATGAATTAGTTCCTTTTCACTTGTCTATCTTGTCATTTCTACTTTTGTTGTTGAAAGTAACAATTTGTAAATCAGGTTTCAGGTTTTCATTATAATTCTTTTTAAACCTGAATCTCCATGAGAATGTAAGATTTTGGAGGTCAACAAAGGTTTGGAAAGTGCACCTGGATTATAATCATCCTTTCCACCCCAAATCCTAACAAAATATTGAGCGATTTTATATCATGTACATTGCCAGTAATTTCTTGCTGCCTCTTAACTTCCTATATCTACTCTAGTAGAGACACTAATTTTCTAGACACATCCTTAACCTTGTATTCACCAGAACTATGCTGCCTCTGAAATCTGAAACATTTTATGTCTTGCCTCATCACAACTATCCAGTCTCTCAGTTCCCATCCTCACTTGGGACCACTAATCTAGTCTTAAACCCCATCTAGACCCAGTTTTGGGAGAAGGAAATGGCAACCCACTCTGGTGTTCTTGCCTGGAGAATCCCAGGGACGGGTGAGCCTGGTGGGCTGCCGTCTATGGGGTCGCAGAGAGTTGGACACGACTGAAGTGACTTAGCAGCAGCAGCAGCAGACCCAGTTTGGGGGCATCTATTTTCCTTCCAGTCTGTTTTGCTCCTCCTATGTCCAGTTTTTTCCTCTAATCAATCTATATCCATTTTTTACCACTCTTGATAGTATTATCATTGTCCTTGCTTTCTATTCCTTCTAGAAAAACTCCATCTTTGGATGAACCCCATTATTTTTCTACGTAAACTTACCTTACTGGGCACCGTAGAGAAAATCATGCTAATAATTCAGGAATGGGTAGCATTATAACCACACCCAGGTCTTCCACCCGTCTCAGCAGGTCCACACCTCCCCCGTCTCCACAGGGTAGTTTAAAATGCTAGACAACCCCCTCCAGCTCTTTAACTTATTATTCTGCCTATCTTACTAGATGGCAGGAACTCCAACTGGACAGAGAATATCCAAGCCACAGATAAGAATCTTCTCAGGTTTTTTTTTTTTTCGAAGTTGTACTTATGTACAAACTTACTTGATGCTCAGTTCAACCTCTGTCTCCATCATTTTCCACCCTGTCCTTAATATGTAAATATCTTTAAGATTCTCCTTTAAAAAATAAAAACACAGAAAGGATGTCCTCATCTCTACATACTCTTCTCATCTACACTTGCTATCTCAATTTTCGTACTTCCCATGAATTCCCCAACTGGATTTGTTTCCTAGGGCTACCATCACAAAGTACCCCAAGTTGGATGGTTTAAAGAGCAGACATTTATTTTCTCACAGTTTCAGAGGCTGAAAGTCTAAGATCAAGATGTTGGCAGGGTTGGTTTCCCCTGACGTCCCTCTCCTTGACAGTAGGGGGCTATCTCCTATATCTCCACATGGTCTTCCCTCCATGCTGGACTGATTCTAATCTCCCCTTCTTATAAGGTCACTGGTCATACTGGATTACAGCCCATCCTAATGACCTCATTTTAACTTAACAACATTTTTGAAGATTCTGTCTCAAAATGCCATCACATTTTGAGGTAATTGAAATCAGGAATTGGTGGATTTTGCAAGGGGGGGGGGGGC